CAATTCCTCGAACAAGGCTATGGATACAACACCCTTATGTGATCGCAGTGCCATCTGGTGAGTGCACATTGAAACTGTTTGGAGTCTCCTGCTAACTTCACCACCAGGGCTCAATAAATGACAGGTGTCAGTATGACATATGCCAGCGCGGACGTTGATGATCAGCCGAGGGAAGAGGATGATCGATGTCATCATCATTATATTGCTATAGCAAGATTCTCACTTCGTTATAATTGCATCAATTTTCAATCATTACCACGTTATACGCATCAGAAACGCTTGAGAAAACAATCAAATCTAAGCTCACATCATGATGGGCTTGTTTCTGCTTTCGAGTGAACGAGTTTCCAATATCACCACCGGTATCAGTAAGATGCAAATGCAGATACTTCCCTTCGAAAAAGTAATCGAGATTTTATGATTTATGAAGCTGTTGCTCAACATAATCTTTATAAACATAGAAGTATACATGGGAAAACACAACGTATCGAAATCATTTCTAAACAAACGTAATAAAATATGTTGTCTTCCTTGACCAACGCTGCATGCATTCAAAAATTACGTTGGAATATTGATTACTTTTCTATTTTATAACGAAGGTATTTTTCAATGACTGAAAGCAAACTGAAGCCGAAGCTGAGTGATGACGATGAGTGATGACACCGCTCCGTGTTTTGATTTGCGCTGTACCCTCCTCCGCTAAGTGGTGTGGGTTCGTACATATATGATGGTGTGCGTGTTTTCTTCCAACGCTGCAGTTCAACGTTGTATCGTCACAAACCTATTGGCACTGTTATCTGTCTTTATAAATTCCAAAGAGTGAAGGGGGTCTGATATTGCCCAACTGTCGGAATTTTAAAAATTTTTCGTTCAAATATCAAGTTTATGGAAATTGCAAACTGCAAGGTGTTCCTCTACGAAGAACTTTTAAAATGCTTCGTTAAGCACAGTAAGACAACCTCTATCATACATACTTAGAAAAATTGATGTAAATGTAGGTGCTCTGAGACTGACGCGCGTCAATTTTGACATAAAATGAAATCATAATAGACGTGACATTCAGTATATTTACGTGTCTTCCTTTATGTCAAAGATGGATTCCGTCACGTGTAAGATTAGGTATTTCTAAGTGTGTAGAAAAAAAAGGGAATCACTTTGATATTCCCTTCAAATGTACCCCATTTTTTTAAAAGATATTCTTTGAAAGAGTAAACTCATGGAATTCATTTTGCAAATATGTTTGTATTCTTATTAATTCTCACACAAAATCAATCAAGTTTGCCTTCATAGATTTGAGTTCTGTAATCTCTCTCTTGGTAAACTCTACAGAATTATCTTGGAACACTCTTTAGAAACTCTCTTGAAATTCACTTCAGAACTGCGTTTTAGGTTTGCTCTGCCTATCTGAACTTTTCTCAGAGTCTTCCAAAACATGCCCGTAAAATTCTCTTCAATTTATGCTACGTATTTTTCCCAATTTTTTTTTTAATTTTTCTTCAGAACCCCCTTGGACATGATGTCCGAAATATCTTAGAACCGTATTAGGGTAAACGCTCCTATAGTTGCGGTACGTTAGAAGCGTTAGGTTCCTATAGTTGTGTATGGAGTCTCCATACACAACTATAGGAACCTAACGCTTCTAACGTACCGCAACTATAGGAGCGTTTACCCTAACAATATTTTATTTATTTTTTTCAAAATACTGCTTTAAATCTCCGCAGAATATTCTAGGAATGCTATCAGAGATGTTCCTAAATTTCTAATCCTTTAAAAAAATTAAATGTTATTGGTTTCTCCTTGAATCATTTTCAGTTTTTTAATCATCTTCAACATTCTGTTCCCTTGGAATTCTTCTCGGGATTCCTTTCAAAATCGACTCAGAATTTCTTTGAAGCAGTATTCTTAGATTTTTCCTTCGATGTGATTTTATTTAACAACCGCATTATTTTCAGCTGCTTATGGTGGTAGTAGTAGATAGGATATAAGGGGCTTGATGGCCAAATGTTGACTGTTTTTGCTTTCTCAGCAAAAGTGGTGGTGGTATAATAATTATATTTTTTAAATCGTAGAAAATCGTTCGTGGTGGAGGAAAAAATGCCAAAGGATTGTTGTTGATTAAAGACTAGACTCGAAAAAATGCAACAGACAAAAATGATCACCGAAATTTCTTTTTTTTTGGGTATTTTTGAAACTCTCAGGGAACAAATAAACACATATCTAGATAGAGCTAGAATCAGAGCCTAACAGCTTTTGTAAACAATGACTTCTCTTGATGATTTCTAGAAATTTAAGGCTCGCCCACGCAAACCAACATCCTCATCGGGTAGGGAAAGACTTCCCCTATCCGATGGTTAGTCTTCGTGGACGTGCCTTGAATTACTAGAAATCATCGATAGAAGTCATTGTTTACAAAAGCTGTTACGCCCTAATTCCTGCTCTATCTAGATATTAGCTATGTTTTTGCAAAATTTGTTTATTCAACCTCCTCTCCTAGGCAAAATGCCCGCACCTTGGACTTAAGGCTACCCATCAAATCCTGTGCAAAGCATGCGCCATCTTTCTTACACGCTTTCATCCACTCTTTCTTCAAATCCATGACGTTTTTGAAGACCTTCCCTGTTTTCCGGAGCTTGCCCTTCATAATCGCCCAGAATTTTTCTATTGGGCGAAATTCTGGCGAGTTTGGTGGACTTGCCTCCTTCGGCATAAAAAAACATCGTTGGCTTCGTACCACTCCATCACCGGTTTCACGTAATGGCACGATGCCAGATATGGCCAAAACAGAGTGTCACCTTCATAAGACCGGAGAAAGGACAGCAAGCGCATCTGGAGGCATTCTTCTTTATATATCTGGCCGTTGATGGTGCGGGTGTTATGTACGGCTTACTGAATTTGCCGGCACCCACTGATCGCCTGCCATCTAAGTACTTCTTGGCGACCTTCTTCCTCCAGAACTTCTCCGGAATATCCAGGCAGGACTTGCCGACGAAAAACTCCAGGCCGGAGATCTGCTTGGCGTCCGCTTTAATGTACGTATTGTCGTCCATTACAATGCTCTTCGGCTGCACGAACCACTCACGGTACAGCGTCCTGGCGCGAGATTTGGCCACCGTATTCTGTTTATCGGTTCGGTTAGGCGCTTTCCTTACCTTGAAGACATGAAATCTGAGCCGTTTCATTGTCTGCTGGACGAACTAGACGGAAGAATTGACCTTCTTGGCCACGTCCCGAATCGAAAGGTTCGGATTGCGCTTGAAGTAATCCTTCACATTCCTTCCGTTCACGGGGTCGGTCGTATTCGCTTTTCTTCTGCTGCCAGCTCGCCGCTGGGTCGTCTGGGTTTCCTTGAACTATTTTACCATACGGGACACAGTCGAATTGTTGATTCCAAACTGTTTTTTAGAACGAAATCGCGTAAAGAAAATGACGTTATTTACAAAATCATCGTAAAAAACTGAACAGTTAGCATGCAAATTGTGTTTGTAATTCTAAGCCCTGATCAAGCGGCGCCAGTGGTGTAGTCGTAAGCGTGATTGCCTCTCACCCCAGCAGGCCTGGGTTCAATCCCAGTCGGCACCGCCGGGATGTTCTGAGGCATAACATCTCTGATCACGCCTTCCTTCGGATGGGAAGTAAAGCCGTTGGTCCCCGGTTCATGAGTTGATGGGTCGATAGGTAGGGTCCAGGTGCTGCCTCCCTGGCGTCGGTAGCATTGGTGCTCAGCACGGAAAACAAGATCGACGGAAAACAAATCAAGGAAAAAAAAACCCTGATGGCACAGGGCCAAAACCAACGACAGAACTTCACAGTGGTAGATTTTCCTGGTTCACAATATGGACAGGATGTCATTAACGCGTAGACATCATGTCATACCGTAAATAACAATTTGGGTTTTATGAGGGTTCTGTAGACCATGACTTAGACTTGATTAGACAGATTATCGAAATTAAACGACACTTTCAAAAACCAGAAGTCACCATCTAGGATTCCAAAATGATAAAATATAATAATAGATTTCCGACCTCTACACATCGTCCCCATTACGAAAATACCTATATTATAAGGTATTTAATACTTTTTCACAAACCGTAAGTCGCCATCGTGAATCTAAAATGGTGTCCTCAAACAACACTTAGAAATTGTTGACTAATTAACCGCGATATTTCTTGAATCGTCGTAAAAATAACCGTGTAAAAAAGACTTGAGTGTATAATGAGTGCCTCTTAAGAAATAACGTTAGGGAAACTTATCAAAAAAAATGTCAACTATACCTGAAATAAAAGCCAATTCCGTCAGTTGTAAATAATGGCTTTAGTGTGGTTAGAATAAGAAATTCATGATACATGTTTACGCCTCGTATATTTTAATGAACAACAATAATGAAGGAGCAAAATTTGCATTCGAAAAATTCCCAATCATCATTTGGGACGATATTCTTTCATTTCGTACGAGACAGGCAAATTTTGGAAAGTTTAGCGTGTCCAAAATAAATTCGTCCAAGTGCAATCTTTTTTATCGTTCATTCACGCCCAGAATCGAAGGCAACATGTCAAGAAAATTTCGCCATCTACTGCTCAATGGTTGAAGCTTCGATCAAATGTTATAGCACATACAAACAGATGTGTCTCTTTAAATAAATTTACTTTAAAAATATCGTCACAGAACTCACTAACGACATCCCGCGAGCTAGTCGCGGAAAAAATCTTGTTTGCAAAGCTTCAAACAATGTCACAAACAAGTTCGATAGGATGTATAGAAACGTCAAAGTGGTCCGGGAGATTCACGAAACTAATAATATTTAAATTGAAGGTTAAATGCGTGTTCGACGATTCAGGATGAACTGCCACGTCCGTTTGTCTGTGGTTGGTATGGAGATGATACCAATCCGCATGTCACTCAGCACAATAAATGTGTTCTGTTCCATCTTTAGCTCTGATATGAAGACCGACATTTCGGAAAATTCATCAATTCACCCGGTTCGATTTGTTCCTTTCTTGTATTTTCAACCAATTGCTCCCGATCCACTAATTCTAAAATTCGACAATTGTATTCTCTTTAAAAATTTAGACCCCAAAAATTACATAACTTACATTAGTTTAACCTACATACTCTCGAATGGCATGTCGCTTGTTCCCCGCTCCGTCGATCGATCGAGCAGCACCCTTAAACGGACGCTCTTCCGCGGCTGGGCTGAAAGTCGTAGCGCAACGGCCGTATCAACCCGCCTTCGTCGTCCGTTTCGAGCTCGAACACGTTGTAGCGCAACGTACCGGGGGATCGCAGCTCGGCCATCTCACAATCCACCAATGGATAGCGGTAGCTGGCGTCCATGATGTACCCGATGCTCGTATCCGGCAGGTCGAACTTGCGCGGACAGGTGCCACAATTGGCGCGACTTGGACCGGACACGGATATCCGCTCGTAGCACTTGCGATCCGTATCGCTCGAGTTGCCCGTTATGACGTCCCCGTCCAGTTTGACCGCTATTTGCAGGGCCTGTAGTAGAGATGATAATGTTAGAGAGCGTTTCTTAAGATCCGTAATTACGTTGGCATATACCTGAATGGCCTGTGCCTCATCCCGTTTCTCATCCTCGGTATTCATAGTTACGAATCGAAGCACCAGGAGATTCAACGAGGCAGCGACCACTGCTAGGCCAAACAGAATAAAGATCAAGGCAAATGCAACGTACTCCGGTTTCTGGTTTAGAGCGTTATCCTTCTGCAAGGCTACCATATCCCCGAAGCCGATAGTCGTAAGCGTGATGAAGCAATAGTACACCGAATCGAAGTAGGACCAGTTTTCGAACTTACTGAACGCCGCTGCTCCTCCGGCTATCGTTAGCGAGCTTAGAGTGGTGACCACCAGTATCAGATCGACTTCCGAAGCGATCGCTTTCTTGCAGTTGAACGAGGTCTTCACCGCATGGACGATTACACTGGGAATCGTGAAGGTTACTTTCATGGCTTTAGGAAGGGTTAAAATCCTTCACTTACCTACTCAACCGATTGACCCGTTCTCCGATGCTCTGGAACATGACGAGCCCTAGAGGGATCCCAATCGCGGCGTAGCACATAGTGAAGATCTTTCCACTGACTGTCGATGGAGTCGAATGGCCGTAGCCAATCGTGGTCAGTACCGTAGTGGCATAGTAGAAAGCGCCGGAAAACTTCCACTGTTGACCCGCTTTGTGCGGTTCCGATTTCATGATGACCGTTTCGATCACCTTGAAATCCTCCGCCGAAATGTTGTATCGAGATATGAGTACACTCTCGATCGCTGCAATTCACGTAAAAGTTAGAGCATTCTGTTGCGTCCCCCATCCTAGGGAAACATCAACACACTTACATGCAAGTAGAAAATAGACGAAACTAAAACGTAAAAACTCAGGAATTATCATGCAATAAATGATAGAAATCTATCATTTGGCTCATAACAAATGTTACCACAAAGCGCCTTCCATCGTTTCTTCTCCGTTTCCGACTCCAGAGCATCGAACACGGCAGCCCCAATTAGCAAGTAGGTGAAGGTGCATACAATCAGTGAAATGGTCCGGACATTTTGCTTCTTCATTGCTTTCGCTAGCTAGGTACTAGTTAATGAAAACAAAATCTTAATCTCAGATCAGTAAGATGAAAGGGGACCTAAAATGGGTTGCATTTTGGTTTGCAGATCAATCAAAGGTTGTCCCAAATTACAATCGAATGCTTACGTGAGTGCAGGTAGACAGGATGGCAGGCAGACAGGCAGACGATGCTATTCCCCTAACGATAAGATAGTGGTGGCAGGTAGTCGCGGCAAGCGAAAGCAAATTCCTTGCATTCAATATCCTTGGCCGTGTCGGAGAGCACCGTTTCGTTTTAGCTCAGCATTGTGGCAGATTGCTAAAACAGCAGAAAACCGGATTTGGCACCACCAGGGGGACACAAATTTGGCACACACACACGCACGGGGAAGACGCGAGCCACCACAGCAGAGGTCGGATTGTGAGTGTCTCTTTGAGGGTAAAAATTCCTATGATGCAGATAATTTATCGATCGATTTTCTGCTACCCACTTGACAGCAAGGACCTCTCTCGGGATGGGAATGTCAGTGCGGTTTGACGTTTGGTCCTGCTGTCTTCCTCCTGTTTGGGAGTTTGGGGTGTCAGAAAGGATAGCGATTTTGAGCGGGAGTTTATTATGTGAGTAAGCGCATGCGCTAGATGGAGCATGTGCCCGGTGTGACACAACATCATATGGAAGCAAATGGGGAGAGTTACGTTTGTTGGAGATCTTTTTTATTGCTTGTATAAACAATAGCAACAAACTGTTCGGTAAAGTCTTTCAAAAGTAAGAGTTTGGTAGTTTTTTATCACCTAGCTTAACTTTGACGAAGACCAAACGTCTCCATTGTGTGCATCGAATTTCAGCCTCACTATGGAAACGCAAGTCAATTTAAACCTGAATTACTCTAGCATAGCATAGCATAACATTTGTGTTGGTAGGAAATGTTATATATTTTGGAACCGCTATTCAGCATGTCAATCTATCCAGCAGGTATACTTTCAAGGTTTTTTTACGTACCGCACAAATTCCTTGCTTTAGGATGTCCTGCTGCATAGATGATGGGTGATTTTTTCGAATATCTTCATAAATCCTTCTAAAATCTTCAACAGTGTAGTAAACCAATAGCGTACCTTCCGAATATGAGGTTTATTTTTAACGTCAAGGTACGTTACGTTTACCATACTTACTTATATAAAAGTATTTGGAATACATTATATATGAAATCTGACCTCGGATATCAATACCTTGGAAAATTAAAGCCTAATTTAACCTTGAAACATATTACTTACGTGTATTCTACGCTACTTTATAACAAAAAACGTGTTTTAAAACGTGTTCGAAACAAACGAACAAACAAGTAGGGGAAATGTATGTAATGTCGGCCTAAGTGTCCCTAATTTGGGCCCATACATAAATTCAGCAATCGACTAAATTTTCAATAGCAACCAAAAATATCCATTAGTACCGTCCTAATGACGCGTTCATCTAGATAAAATTGATCAATAGCAGATTTTTAGTCATGGGCCCAGAGTTAGATCCATAGGCCAACATTAGTGCCATTTACCCTATATTGGATACCTACTTCCAGCTAAGCATTCAATTTACCCCTGAATGTAGACAACCAGGAAACATGGAAAAAGTCATCTTTACGCATATAGAATTAATCTGAATTAATTGAATTTGTATGATTATTTTAGAAAATACCTAGAAACTTGAAAATTTCATTACCTATATAATCTACGAAAAACATTATTCTAATTGTCAGTGACGAATTGTCAGTGACAATGATGTCATTAACAAACATGTGCTGATTTTTTATTAGCTCAATTTTGTAACGAAATTAAATTACTTGAGCAAAACAATTACATGGAGCCGTTAAAGTGAACAAGCATCTACGTCCTGAACTGCTTGGATAACTAATGTGACACAGAATGCATGAAATTACACTTTTTGCTACCAGGTGAATCTTTGTAATTGACAGAAAAATCAATGAGATTTGGACAAAGGTTTTTTGAGGACTTATCAGTGACTAAGTGAAACATTTTTTTGACAATGGCAAATCTCAGCACTGATCAGAACAAATCTAGGCCTACTTTGATCAAAATTACACAAATCATCCTCTCGCTTGTGTTCGCTCTCCCTCTCTTTTGGGGAGTTTTTGTTTGCATCTTTCATATTCCAGCCGGCACTCACTCGAGGTGAAGGCTGCCTAAACTCACAGGACAGTATTATAAAACCTCAAGAGGAGTTTCATCAAGCCTGGTTCTCGGAGCATCCCTGAAGCTCTCAATTCTATTGAAGATCTCGGTTCTGCTCTGAAATAAATGGAATTATCGTAAACACCTTTAAATTTTGCTGACATTTTCTGGACTTCTGTGAAGATTCTGAAATATTTCTGAAGTTTGCATAAATTCTCTGAAGGTCTCTGTACTTCCCTGAAATTACCGGAAAATTTTAAGAGTTCTCGATTTTTTAAAACTAACACTTCTAGATCTTTAAACTGCTCCAAAAGTCTGGACTAGAGCATCGGGAAATGCCTTTATGACCTCTGAAATTCCCCAATAATCTCTAGATCTAGCTTTTCTTAGAGGATCTTAGAACTTCTTAAAAGTTTCCAGAATTTTCCTCCAGTTCTCTATATTTCTGAAGTTCTCTGAAATTCTAGGATCTTCTTAAAAATTTCTGCAGTTCTTCAGCAGTTCATAATAGAACCACTTTGAGATTCTTGAAGCTTCCAGTAAGTTCCCAGAGCTTGTAAAGGGAATACGAAGCTTCAAGGCGATGAATATTTTGAGACCTTAGAAATTCTAACCTTCAACATTTAATGGATTTGATTATAAGGCTGTTTCTTTAAAACTAATTGTCGTGTCTTAAAACCGTTTGCATCAATTTCCTTTGTTGTTTTTTTTTACCAAAAAAGCATATTTTTAACGCATTTAAAAAAACTTTCTTATTGTAAACCTGGAACTTATTCGTTAATGTTCTGAAAAAAAGCAATGAAAGTCAGGGATTTTTTATTTAGCCAAATGAGTAGAGAAACACGATCAAACGTCAAAAAGGTATAAAGAGGCAAAAAATCTTCGAATTGTTCATCTTGATCAATCTTGAAGTAAATTCATGCTAAAAAAAAGTTGAAAATTGTGACCTAAATTCCATTAGGAGAACTGGGTGTAATTCGCGCCAGTAAGTTAATTTGACCATCAACCTTTTCGCAAGTAAATTTAAAGCAACAACTTATACAAAAATTTACACCATTTCCGCTTAAATATTCATTGTGTAATATTATTGAAAATTGATCATTCGCCATCTATCGCTCAAAGGCAAAAGCTTCGAACTGTAGTATCTACAATTGTCGAGTTAATTTTAACTCGTGATTAAAAGCAAGTGGGACGACTCTATCTACAAAGCAGGAAAAATCGTGTTGTGCTGTGGTTAGCTGCGAGCACGCTGGTTAGATAGAAAGAAGATTGATGGCGATTCTGAAGATTTCCTGCAAAAAAATGATATGTGATGCAAGCAGATGCTAAAAATGCAAGAAGATTTTTCGAAGATTGATTCGCTAGTGTGAGATTTATTGAGCATCTAGAATTGAGATTTAGATGTGTCGCCCCCCCCCCCCTCGTTTAAAAGTGACATTTCGAAAGTTATTTTCCTTGTTCTAAAATCCCTGTAATCCAAATAATGTAATAATCCAACTAATGTAAACAGTTTTCAGTAGATGACTTTTAATAGAATCAGCTGCTGAAAACATACCATAGTGTATCTCAAAATTGGCAAATCAAAGTTGGCACTCGTGGAGAATAGAAGAACTATGAGAGTGATGATGGTTTCAAAATTTTACACGGTGAGGTATAAGAGTATCGTGTTTATATCCCATGTCACGACGTGGAAATCGATGGAGTGGTCACCGAGTCGAGTATGACCAGCGACGACTTCCTGAAGAGGGGGGTTGGTGTCTTCAAGAACCCCACCCTTCCTGAAGTAAAAATTCTCGACTGCATTCAAATGCAGTCAGCGTCCCTGGATGGGACGAAAAAAACCTACTTGCTATCAGACTCGTTTCGGGTGACCTTCTCCGGATCGGCACTGCCAGATTACGTCAGGATTGGAAGGGTTCGACTTCCTGTGCGGTTGTTCGTACCGAGGGTGATGAACTGCACAAAGTGCAAACAATTAGGCCACACCGCTGCCTTCTGCGGCAACAAGCCACGCTGCGATCTGTGCGACGAGAAGCATGCGGAGGGTGCTTGTAGTACTCCTCCCAAATGTGTGTATTGTTTGGCATCTCCGCATCCTTTCGTAGATTGCCCTAAGTACAAGCAACAGGGGGAAAACTTAAACGGTCCCTGAAGGCACGCTCTCAGCGTTCCTTTGCAGAGATCTTGAAGGCTTTTAATCCTCTTCCCAGAATCACTCCGGAAAAAAACGACAATAACCCTTTCAACCTTCTCCCAGTTGATGAGGATGACACTGATGCCGGGGGCAATGAGGGAAGTCATTTTGTTTTCCAAGGTCCTTCTAGAAAGCGAGCCAGGAATGGTTTGCAGAAAACTAAAAACACCACTAGTACTGACTCCCAAGCCCCCTTGGATAAATCAAGAGGCCGTGGAAATGTCCCGAAACCCGTTCCACCGGGTTTCAAGCCTGTCGATTACGACAAAGTATTTCCGCAGCTTCCGGGAATATCTAAAACCCCAGATATCCCAGTTTCACTGCCAGAACAGCGTAACGCCATGTTCACGTTTTCTGGAATAGTGGACAGCATTCTCGATTTGCTTAACATCTCTGACCCTCTAAGGAACATCATTGCTATGATGCTTCCAATCGTGAAACCTTTTCTGAAGCAACTAGCTTCCAAGTGGCCTCTCCTTGCTTCGATCTTATCCTTCGATGGATAATTTTCCAAAAAACGATACGGTATCTCTCCTGCAATGGAATTGTAGAAGCATTTTTCCGAAGCTAGACGTGTTCAAATTCTTGCTAAGCAACCTGAATTGTGATGCTTTTGCTCTCTGCGGAACATGGCTTTCTCCAGACATCGATCTTTTTCTTCACAGCTTTAACATTGTCCGTCTCGATCGTGTAGACTCCTATGGGGGTGTGCTCTTGGGGACCGACAAACGTCACTCTTTTTACAGAATTGTCCTTCCTGCAATGTCGGGTGTTGAAATTGTCGCATGCCAGGTGAATATTCGAGGTAAAAGCCTCAGTATTGCCTCGCTATACATCCCTCCGAGAACGGCTGTTTCTCATCGAGCTTTATCGGACATCTGCTCAGTGTTACCTGAGCCGTGTTTGATCGTAGGGGATTTTAATTCCCACGGTACAGGCTTTCGGACAAACTCCATACCAGTGGGCTTTCACCAATTATCAATAATTTCTTGTGCAATTTATTGTCCGAGAAACAAATGAGCTTCTCTCATGGCAACTCGGCAATTTCACGAATTAGCTACATGGGCCTCCCTCAGGGCTCATGTCTGAGTCCCCTTCTGTACAACTTCTATGTTAAAGACATTGACGATTGTCTTGCCGAAAATTGCACGCTAAGGCAGCTTGCAGATGCCGGCGTGATCTCCGTTGTTGGGCCAAAAGCACCGAACCTGCAAGGACCATTGCAAGATACCTTGGACAATTTGTCTACATGGGCAATGAATCTGGGTATCGCATTCTCTCCGGAGAAAACTGAGATGGTTGTTTTTTGTAGGAAGCTTTATCCAGCACAGTTGCAGCTTCAACTTATGGGTAAAACAATCACTCACAGCATGTCTTTCAAGTATTTAGGTGTCTGGTTCGATTCCAAATGCACTTGGGATAAACACGTTGCGTATCTGAGTCAGAGGTGCCAACAAAGAATCAATTTTCTTCGTTGTATTACCGGCACTTCGTGGGGAGCCCATCCGGAAGATCTGATAAGACTTTACAAAACCACCATTCTATCGGTGTTGGAGTATGGTAGCTTTTGCTTCCAATCGGCGGCGAACACCCACATCTTGAAGCTGCAACGGATTCAATACCGTTGTATACGAATCGCACTACGTTGTATGCATTCGACGCATACAATGAGTCTGGAAGTACTTGCGGGCGTACTTCCCTTACCAGATCGGTTCGCGGAATTGTCGTTTCGGTTCCTTATCCGCTGTGAAGTCATGAACCCGTTGGTGATCGAGAATTTTGAGAAGCTGCTTGAACGAAATCCGCAAACACGATTCATGAGCTTGTACTACGAGTACATGACTCTGGAAATTAGCCCCTCCCCGTTCAATACCAATGAAGTATACCACGATTTCAGTTGTTATTCCGTAAGATTCGATTTTTCAATGAGGGAGGAAATTCAAGGAATACCAGAGCCCCATCGCCTCCTGATTGTACCATCCATCTTCGCGAACAAATACCGCCACGTCAATGCCGAGAAGAGATTTTTCACTGATGGGTCCACAATAAATACGTCCACTGGTTTTGGTGTATACAATGATCTCCATAGTGCCTCATATCAGCTTAAAAAACCATGTTCGGTATACGTTGCAGAACAAGCAGCTATATTGTATGCGTTAGAGCAGATCTCCTCACGTCCCCCTGATCACTATTTCATTTTTTCGGATAGTCTAAGTTCTCTGAAGGCTATGCGTTCTATAAGGCCGATGAAGCACTCGACGTATTTCCTGAACGAAATAAGATCGTCACTGAGTGCTTTATCAAACAGCTCACATATCATCACCTTAGTATGGGTCCCTTCTCAGTGCTCTATCCCGGGCAATGAGAAAGCAGACTCGCTGGCTAAGGTGGGCGCTATTGAAGGCGACATTTACGAGCGACAAATCGCCTACAATGAATTTTTCACAATTGCTCGTCAGCAAGTCCTCATCAACTGGCAACAAAAGTGGAATGATGGTGAACTGGGAAGATGGTTACATTCGATCCTCCCACAGGTGTCGATCAACCCTGGTTCAAGGGATTGGACGTGGATCGCGATTTTATCCGGGTAATGTCCAGGCTCATGTCCAATCACTACTCGTTAAACGCACATCTCTACCGCATAGGGCTTGTAGATAGCAGTTTGTGTGCCTGTGGAAACGGCTATCACGACATTGAGCATGTTGTCTGGTCCTGGCTCTGCCAATAAAGTGCAAAACTATTATATAATACCGAATAATCAATAAATATGTGTTCACAGTTACGCTCAATTTTGCGATACACTGAACAATAACAGCAAAAATACATCAATTCTTGCATAGTTCCAATCTTCTTGATGTGTAGATTTCGGATACCTGTTGTTGTGGGAATCTGAAGAGCAGCCTCTTTGTTTTTCAATTCTTATTTATTCATCAACTCAAAAATGCTAATTTCATCTTAAAATATTAATATATAATATAAATAAAGGTTTCTCGTATGGTTCCTTTGCATTTTGCATAAATAAAAATTAAAAATTGGATCAACAATGCAATCTTTTCTCATTCGATTCTTCTAAAAAAAAATATAAAATACGATACAAAGTTTCCAATGCTTAAAAAAAACTCTCAATTCATGAAAGCTCAATAAGAACAACTACTACGCACTAGTTTCATGTTGCATCTTTCCATAATGCTAAATGAATCAGGCTACTAATTTTCTTTGCTATTTTACGCTCTAAGGTACAATGGTTTCGTTTGATTAGGGTTTTCTAGCTAGTATATGTTTTCTGCTTATTTCTATCGTTTATTTACGATTGGGGCTTGCCTTGGCTTGGGGTACCGATTGCACAGCCATTATTGAAACGGTCTCATTTCGAATTCAACACAAGCTCTGAAAGCGTTCGCACTTTTGAACATCACATTTTATTTCAAGTTTTAAAAACAAGCGAGTAAATACGGTTTAATTAGTTAATCTAGGATGAAACTGATGAATATAATCACTTGTTCCGTGAATGGTAAAACCGATGTCTAATTGGTCCTGATCGTTGCGCTTCTTTCCGAACAGTTCAGCTCTCATATAGGTTCCTGCCTATTAATCCTACTGGTACCGAGTCATTTGGATATTCGCAAGCATACCGTTAAAATAAGAACACAATTCGATGTCATTTGTTGTCACAGTTTCTGAAGACAAACGACCCAACTAAAAACACACAAAACCACACGCACATACATACATTCTAAGCAAAGATTCATGCACATTGCATCACTTTCAGGTTCCTTGTAATGGTAACTCTATGGTTCTATTGTAATGGTAATATCATCATGGTGTATGTATTCGTGACAGAGGTCGCAGACCCGTTCACATTTCGAAGATCGAGTAGGATGAGGCCGATGGTGGCTTGCTGAGCAGCAGAGTGGCGGCTTCGGAGAGTAAAGCCTGCTGCTGGTCGGCCTCCGGTTGAAGGTACAGCGTGTCATCACTGGGCAGCTCTTCAATTTGGAGCTGCTGCCACTGCTGGATCGCCACCGGATCGGTGGAATGGTTCGGATGGCCGTAGTGGTGCCGATAGTGGTGGGTATGGGGTAGCTGGTTCGGGTACAGGCATGGTTCGATCAACTCATCGAGATCCATTAGACTGTCTCGATCGTACGAATCGGTGTAGAGGAAATCTGCAAATGGGAAAAACGGGAAGTTGTAGCTTTCGGGGTCACTTTCCGGGTGCTGGGAAGGTACATAAACACATGCAACTGTTCGACACACAAGACTGGCGGTTAGTAGCTGTTGTTGACTGAAGTTGTGGTGGCTGGAGCTCGATTGGTTCGTTACCGGCTCACAGACTCCGTGCCGTTGATTGTGGTTTACAATCTGCAAAAATAAGCACCATGAAGGTCGATTCAACGGAAGACATGCTGGCATTTACACACTAGCGCTACCTTTTCCGGCATCAATCTAGCCTTTAGGCTACTTCTATGGGAGCGAACGGACCCTTTGAATTACATCGCATCAATTAGAGAAATGATTGACAAACTACAGATCTTGGCAACAAGATCATAAAAGCAAACTGAGGCCTAATTTAGGAACAGGCTTTGATTAAAAGTTATTGGAAGTGTGCTAATACACCGAAGGCTGATTCTTCGAATGATCAATCCGTGCCTTTCTACCACTTACAAGCGAATGCATTGTAAATATCATATTCATTGTCAGTCAATGAATCAAACCACCATCAAAGAGTCAGACTACAGGTTATTGGTACACCAAAGAAAATCGCTACCATGCAAGATTAATGGTACGGAATGCACTTAACTAAAGCCTGATATACAAGGTATGCTATATGAAATGGACTTATTTAACCCAACAACCCTTATCCGAAAACAAAAGCACTACTAACTACCGAACAATCAATGGAATGAACTTGATGAAAATGGAAACGTACACACTGGCTCATCGTCGAGGACCAACAATGCGTTTTGGATGATTCTTCTGGCAGCGCCGTACCTGGCTGTGTCGTTTCCCAATCGTTATCGAACTCCAGCTGCTGGTTCACCTCCCGCTCCTGCTCCGTCTGAATGGCCGGGTTGGCATCGTCCGTCATGTCAAAGATCTCCGTTACTTTCACCTGCGATGAGTTCGTATTAGAAACACAAGTGAATTTCCCCTCCATGGATCCCCATGCTGCCCGTTCGCAAAGATAGTCGCCCAATGGCCGACGGCCTAGCTTAGGGAGCGCTACTCAGCAATACTCACCTTATTGTTGGCGTCCAGGTAGTAATAGGCATACATGGCATCGTGATGAGAGGTTGCCTGCAAGATGTGGTCGAATGTGTCATAATCCGGATGAACATCCTCTTCACCTTCCCGTTCAGCTGCCTCCCGACCTTGTTGATGTTCGTGGTTGTAATGCTGGTCAGGTGTGTCACCGGTTGCGGAACCCACAGTCCCCGGCAAGGCAACTAATTCGTTCCCATTGTCAACTCGCACATCTACCAGTGATCCCATTGAGGCACGGTGGCTCAGCCGCTTCGTACGTGTGCCCACCAGTTTGCCCCCGCTACCCGTGTACTCTGTGTAGGCCATTTGGCACTCCAAACTGCCTGCCATCTGTATCGAAGGAAGTTGCCAAATTTGCAATAAGCTAACAAGTAAGGATAGCATTGTTTCATAGAGTACCTGCTGCTCCCGGCGGATTCGCTGGAGAATCAAGTTTAGGGTTTTGAGGGCGAATTTACTCACGGACCACAGCTGACTGCCGATCGTGGGGGTTGCTACCAGGAGTCTGAAACGAAATGATGGATCGAAGGTTAGATGTGCAGCAATCGACACTCAGACGCTATAGAGATGGGAAATTTTTCGAGTGATGCCATATTTACAAGGATTTGTCCGAAAGTTTCATCATGACCACTTATAATATTGGGAACCATGGGATATTATTACTAAACCTATTAAATCAAGTTTCAAATGTAACCAACACCGTTAGAGCAAACCACCCTCCACCGAATAAAGACGACTAGTTGAAGGAAACACCTCACACAGGAACGGCACGCACAGAGACTTCATAGTGCTAAACCACACAGGTCAACGCACGGACTGAAGCGAAACCACACAAACAAACTTAAAGCCTTACCGTTTCAGCCGTGTCTCGAGTGCTTGAAGCATCGGATCCATGTTCGGCTGCGGAACCGGAACCGTGCGGATATTAACAGGACCCCTTGCTACCAGTGCCAATGCTCGCTGCTGCCGTGCCAGACATTGACGACAGCGGGGATTTACCGGACCAACTACACTACCACCATCCAAACTGCCAGTCGAGGGGCAGACTATGTTACCTAGAACCTTGTACCGGAACTGGCGCCGTTCGACGCGTTCGTCGATGGCGCTGCGCATAGGGTTGGTATGGTTAGTATACGGGAAAGCAACTAATCTGGTTTATTTACAGACAGACGGACATCAACACAATTTCATCAATGGGACAATTCAACGACTCTACAAGCTGGCAACACTGATTTTTTTATTTGAAGAATTGGTAAGGCCGAAATCATGTATATATATTTTTTTCTGAGACCAAAGACACGTGACGATTATGTACAAACAGAAACGATTGAACGGTACTCACTTGGTTAAGGTGGCAACCATGATGTCCGCTGGCAATGTGGCCGGAAGTGACAATGCCTTGAGCAATCTCGCTCCCCGGTGTCGGAATACCCAATTCATCAGTCCTTTGTTCGCCTCCTCGATGTAGGTCTGGAACACGGTCAACACCGTATCGGGCATGCTTCCGTCCAGGGCGTTCTGTCGGTGTTCGTTGCAGTCCTTGCATTCACTGCACTCGGGATCGTACTCCTCCAGCAGCTGATCCTCCAGCTGCTTCGGTTGGTCCGCCAGCGAGAAGGTCGACTGCACCGAGAGGCATCGGGTGCAGCTGATCAGATTGTTGCGATGGAGAAAGTTCAACGCGTCGTCAAAGCCTTGCTGGCAGAACGAGGACAGAATTTCCGGCCGCGGTGGGAACAGGATCCGTCCGAAGCGGTTCATGTTCTGCTTGGACAGTTCAATACTGGTGTTGGCCCAGTTGACGTGAAACATCTGGGAGCTGTTGTCCCGGGGGCAGATGTCCGATTCGCCGCAGAACGGGCTCACGGTGACGGTGTTTTCGTCCAGGGTCGGTAGGTTGTCCGAGAAGGCACCGTCCATGTAGCGTACCCCGTGGAAGCGAGGCGGCAGGAGACCGGAAAATACCGGGATGAAGCACGCGCAGAGCAGGGCCTGTGTGGGGGAAGAATAGGGCGTTAGATGTAGTGGTACCCGAGATGAATCGCGACATGGTTTGGAAATCAACCTAACAATCTAGTACGCTGTTGAAGGTGAGTTATTATTAACTTAACTTAAGTGTAATCTGTAACGATTTCAGACACAAGCAAGTCATGTAAGTCCATCGAGAGGATTGAATGTAAAATTGTTGCCGCGAGGACATCTGTTAGTTTGTGCAGTAGAAAGACTATCAGTGCATGAAATCTGATTTCTGTGCCAGGAACGATGAGGCAGTCACTCAAAGGTGACTTTTTAGAGACTGACTTGAAAATAGTGACCTAGCCACTAAAAAGTGACCTGCTACCAGCACTGCTCAATACAGCTATCATTTTAAGCTTTGATGGCCCCCATCCTAATTTGTCATCCCTGGACAGCTGTACGAGATTAAGCCAAAGCCGAAGTAGAGCAAGTGCAGTAGGAGAATAGGTCGCACGAGTTACCCATACAAAAATCCCTTATATAATTCCCAGTTCATCACAAGCGGTTGACGTTTTTCAATGCTTTGGAGTGTTGAATGTACCATTACTGGGCTGGAAGCGATCACTGCAAACAAAAATAGTGATTTTAGTGACCATAGGGAAGAAATAAGTGACTAAATAGTGACTTATATTTGTAAAAATAGTGACTAACAAGTGACCTTGAATTGAATTAAAAGTAATTTTTAATGAAAATTCTTAGGAATTTGTGTGAAGCACAACTCCTGTAAACTTCAAAGGAAAATTCCAAGCATATTCTGAGGATAATTTCAAAAAGTTTGTGAGAGAAAAACAAATACGGAGCATAAGTCCTTGGATTTTTTTCGACATGCTAAAAAGAGGATTACAACTAAATCTGAGAATAACTCCAGGACATCTTCCAAGGAATTCAGAAAATAAATTCAGAAGAGTTTGCTAAACAAATCATGAGAAGAAATCTAAGAAATTTGTGAGGAGAATTTCAAGGGAAGAAGTGAGATTCAGAAGGAAATCTGAAATGAATTCAATGAATATTCTGATAATCTTTCCAAAAGCTGTCTTATTATGGAGAATTTCAAGGTAATTCTGAGGAAAAATAACATTAAATTGAATTCGGAGGATAGTTTCATCTAAATTTCCATTGAATATGGAATGGGCTATTCTGAGGTGAACGTCCCAAATTTTTCCTGAAGTTAATGAAACTACCTTGAAGTTCTCACAATACTACTCATCAAATTCTTAAGCTTTCCTGATCTTAGGACTTTAGGAGTTTCCATAATTTTTCGCTGAAGTTTTCCAAACTTCTTTAAACTTTATGTAACTTCTCTAATGTTAACGGAACTGCTCTGAGGTTCTCTGTTCTTTTCTGAAATTCTCAAAACTGCTCTAACATTTTTTTGCAGTTTTCATGAAGCTTGTTGTACTGCGCTGGATTTAATTGAACCGTCCTTAAAATGTTTAAGCTTCAGTGAACTTCTGAACTTATGCGAAAACCTCAATGAACTTTTTAACGTCTCTGAAGTTATCTGAAAATCTGGAAACTGCTCTAAATTTCCCACTAATTTTCAGAAACTAATGGAACTGACCTCCCCCTGAAATTGCTCAAATTTTCGGAGCTTACTAAACTGAAGTTCGTGGATCTCCCCTTAAGCTCCATAGATTTCAATGAAGTTCTAGAAATGTTTCTGAAGACCACTGTCCTTCTGTGAAGTTTTCGAAGTTTTTTCTAAATTTCTGGAACTTTTGTGCTCCCGCAATTTTCATGGAATTCGAACGATTAGAAACTTCCATTAAATTATCAACACTAATTTAAAACTTCTTCAGTAGTCTAGACTTTCCTGGTGGTGTTATTAAAACTACCTAAACGATTATTGAATTTCTTTAAAGTTCTCTAGATAGCCCTGAATTGATCAGTATATTTTAAGAACCCGCAACTTTACTGAAATTAATAGATTTGCCTTGAAGTTTCGACTATTTTCCTTAAGTATTCTAACCATTACAGACGCTCACTTAATTTTCCTGAACTTATCTACGCTTACCTGAAGTTCTATATTTTTTTTTAAGAATCCGGAAAATTTTCTGATTTATATATTTCTTGAATGAATTCTTAGAATACCCCATAATTCAACGGAATTCGTTGTAAGTCGCTGCAAATTTGCTTAAGTTAATGGAACTTGCTTAAGTTAATGGAACGGAAGCTATCTGATCGTCCTCGAAGTACTCGGAACTTCGTTGAATATCATGAAACTATCTAAATTATAAGTTCTCTGGAATTTCTTGAAGATATTTATCGCTGCTTGCTAAAAGTTCTCGTATATTTTTAATGAATGGAACTTCGTTGATATTTTCCAATCAACTTAGCTAAATTTTCGCATTTTTTAAAGTTCTTGAACATCATGAGTTCTTCATGATATAACATTCTTAAAATACTCTCACGGTTTCTGGCTGTTCATATAATTTATATCACGTTCCAGAAATTCTATCGGAGCTTTGCTCAAGTTTCCGGAACTTCTTTAAGGTGTCTACAATTTCCTTGAATTTATTTGAACTGCCCTTTGATTCTCTGATCAGTCTTAATGTTCAAGAAGCTTCCCTAAAGCTATTGAAGATAAATTTCCCTGAAATTCTTTGGACTTTTGTGAAGTTCCTGAAATATTTCTGAAGTTTTCATAAATTATTTGATGGTCACTCACTGTACTTTCCTGAAAATCTCGGAACATCTTAAGGGTTCTCATTTTTTCTAAATTTACGATTATAGATATTTAAATTGCTCCAAAAAGTCTGAACTAAAGTCATGGGAACTGCTCTTACAGGGTGTCTACTCAATCCAAGGAATCAAATTCCCTGAGTTTTCCAGGTTTTTCCAGGTCGGATGAAAAAAATTCCAGGTGCATACAAATTATACACATTATTATTTTATAGAACCCCCTAGTTTGCTGGTGTTCACACTGCACATGTCGAAAGAACTGTCAATTTAGATTTCAAAACAAAACTGTATCAGGAGTCAAAAGTAAATACTTCCATCATGAATTATCGGAAAATTACTCTAGTTTCGGCAGACGTATTTGCTTTTATTATTTTAAATAAAATGAGAAAGAGAAGGTGAACTTTGTGGAGTAGGAAATGGTTGCTCAGGAGGAACACCGGCAGGGATTTGGCTCATCTTGTCCATCAAGAGCTGCGATATGAAGATGAAAATGGATTTCAAAACTTCGCCAGGATGTCGATACCAACTTTAGACAAGCTAGTGGGAAAAGTTCTCACTAGATATACATGATTCCTTGAGTTCTGAAAATTTCTGTTAACAACTCAATTCTGCAAGGTCTTCAAACCTTCTGACGTCCCTGAAGTTTTGTTTCTGTTCTCCGGTAAAATTTCTTTAAAAATCAACAATCTTTCCTGACAATCTGCAAATGTCTCGGTAGTTCGACAGATTTCTTTGAAGTTCTGTGTGTTCTTCAGAAGTTCAGAAAATTTTCCTAAAAACCTACAAAGTTCCTGAATCCCTGAAGATTTAAGATCCTTGAAGATGTTCACAACATTTCTAATAATCTACAAACTTCTCGAAAGTTCTGTAATTTTCTCTGCAGATTTTCATGATTCAATGAATATCTGCAAATATATCTGAACATCTATACAATTTTCTAAAGAATTAAAAGATTATCTAGAAATTTTTGAACTTTCCGGAAGTTTTAGGAAGTATTCTGAAGTTTTTCTAATTTTTCTGAAGCTGTGCAAATATCTCTAAAGATAAGCGAACTTACCTGAAGTTCTGTGAATGTCTTTCAAAATCCAAGAACCGCAGTAAAATTCTGAAAATTTATTTAAACATCTGCTAATTTTTGAGTAGATTTACGACCTACCCTCTGAACTTTTCTAAAGTTCCTAAAATTTATTTCAAATTCTGTAAAGTTTTCTGAAGTACTGTATTTCTGCTCTAAAGATCTACGAACTGCCCTGAAGTTCAATAAATTTCACAGTAGATCTCCGAACTTTTCTAAAGTTATTTAAATCTTTGTGGATTCTTGATCTAAAGATCGGCGAACTCTTCCGAAGATCTGCGAGTTTTGCTGAAGTTTTCCATTTTTTTTCTAAAAACATACGAATTTTCTGAAGTTCTGCAGACTTCTGTTAAGGTCTACGGACTTCTCTGAAGTTCTTTAGATTTATCTATTTCTGACTTCCATGGAGTTCTGCAAAATATTGTACTTTTGTACTTCGCTGCTATTTGTTTTTTGAATTGAGGTGCTTTTCTGACATTTAACGAATTTTTCTGAAGATCTCACATTTGTGTGGAACTGTGAAACTTTCCGTCAAATTCCTGCAAATATCTTTAAAGTTCTGTAAAGTTGCCTTAAGCTCCGTAGCTCTATTCCCAAGATCTACAAAAAAAACTTGAGGCTCCATAAATTTCTCAGTAGATCTGCAAACTTCTCTGATGTTTTGTAAATTCCTCTAGGGTTACCCTGAAGATTTGAAAATTTCCCTGAAGATTACCTAAAGTTGTCAAAATTTATCAGAAAATATTTGAGCTTCCTTGAAGTTTTAAATGTCTCTCTCAAGATCTACAAATTTTCCTGAAATCGTGTAAATATTTATTTTTTTTAATCCCTGAAGTTCTGCAATTTTTACTGAAGATCCATTACATTTCTGAGATTCTTGTGATTTTTTCAGAAGTCCTGTGATTTTTTTCAAAGTGCTGTAGCTTTGTTCTGAAGATCTACGAACTTTTGTGATGTTGAATAATGTTTCGAGGATCTCCAAACTTCTGTGAAATACTTTATATTTCACTGTAGATTCTTGGACTTGTCTGAAGTTATGCGAATTTCCCTGAAGATTTTCTTATAGTTTTACAAAGTGATTTGAAATTATTTTTGCTTGCTTGAAGTTTTGAAAATTTCTTTGTACATTTATCTGAAGATCTACGACCTCTCATGTGATTTTGTTTTTATGGATTTCTGTTAATAACTTTTAAGTTGTTTGTAGTTCTGTTCTCAAGATCTACGAACTACCCTGAAGCTCAACAAATTTCTCAGTAGATCTCCGACCCTCTCTGAAGCTCAAAAAAAAAATTCTATGTTGGGTCTGGCATGCTTATTCTTATACAATACATGCTTCGTATGCTTCCTTTTGACGGTTGCCAGTCTCTCTTTTTCGGCTGTTTCCTTTTTACGACGATTTTGATCCTCCACATACAAATCAGCGAAGAGCGAGCGCGACAAGACTCTCTGAATGAACTTGTCTCGTTCGCACACGTTGTCTTAGCTGTCAGATGCTTGTCAAGTTCAGTGTCCTTAAGAAACGTTTCAAGAAACTGAACGAAAAACTTCTTTTGAATTACGAATGAAGTGATAATTGGAAAATTCCCTGAGTGGAACCAAAATTCCCTGAATATTCCAGGTTTTTCCAGAAAAAAAATAAAATTCCCTGTAATTTCCCGGTTTTCCAGGTTTTTCCAGGTAGTAGACACCCTGTCTTAAGTTCTGAAATTCTCCAAAGGTCTCTAGATCTAGCTTTTCTGAGGTGCTTAGAACTTCTTAAAAATTTGCACAATACATCTCAAGTTTTCTATAATTTTTAAGGTTCGCTTAAAACCTGTGATGTGCTCTGAAGTTCTAGGAACTTCATAAAAGTTCCTGATAATTTCCGGATCTTAAAAGAACCGATTTGAGGATCTTAAAGCTTCCAGTAAGTTCCCCATATGTTCAGTGTGTTAACTTCCCTTATGTTCCCGCAGTTTGTTTATGGAAATCAGCATTTCCTTTCATTCCTCAGAACATCTTCTAAGTTTCTACTATTGCTGTGAAGTTAATGGGACTGCAATGAAGATCTCTAATTTTTCATAAAGTTAATTACGAACTTGAAATAAATCATTTAATGTTTTCCTTAATTCACGAAATTTTATTTAGCAAAATGAGTAGACATTTAGTAGATATAGTAAAACGTAGATATACACCCCTATTCTGTATTTCGTTTCGAACGAAATTCTCATACAAAAAAATATTTTTTTGTATGAGAATTTCGTTCGAAACGAAATACAGAATAGGGGCGATAGTAAAACGGTTGTTGAATTTAAGTTGACCTCTGAAAAACAATAATATTATCCTTCCCATTTTATTAAGTAGGGGAATTTACGTATTCTCGGCAACCTAAGCAGCGACCTTCTTTCTATAGCCTTTTTCTCTATGGAACGCACACAGTATTGGTTTGTTTACAATCTTTTGCTGCCAGCTGCTCTAACAATTTCAGTCGAAAGAATTGTCAAAACCTGTTTTGAAACGCTTTTACAAAGCTCCAATCTTCTCTAGTGAGAGCGAGTATTGTCGGCAACCAGTTTTTCTTCGGCAACCGTTCCATTTGAACTTTCAAGAAAACCCTGCAAGATTGCTTTTTCTCAGTGGTAAAAATATAGTCAAATTGAAGCTGAAAGTATAAAGAATCGTTTGCATGCATTCAGCGAAGTGTTTTCGTAAGAAAATCCAGTGAAAGTAGTGTTTCAATTTGGGTTGCCGAAAATAGTCTGTCATGTCGAAGCCGTCATTTCCCCTACTAGTCGAATACTCATTAATGAGTAAACTCGGTTTTACTCATTTCATGAGTTAAGACACTTTTCTTCGAAATGGGTTAAATTTTACTCGTTAATGGGTGCTTTGTAGTTAGCGTGCTAAACAATAACAAATTCACGGCGAATGAGAACGACCCAAATTTGAGTTTAGTTCACTCATAATCGCCAAAAGTGCAGGAACTCAGCGATGAGTAAAATTTGTCTCATGTTTTTCCAGGATTTTCCAGGGAAAAATTCCCGAATCTGAGAAAAGTAAAGATTGGATTCACTCAGTCTATTGGTACTACTCTGAGACTGAATAAAATTTTCGTCAATTTCCTCATTTTCCGGCAGATTTTTTAGGTTTTCCACAGGAAACCATGAGACAAATTTACTCATCGCTGAGTTCCTGCACTTTTGGCGATTATGAGTGAACTAAACTCAAATTTGGGTCATTCTCATTCGCCGTGAAAATGAATTCAAACGTTCTCCACAATTGTACCGCTGCTGAATGCACGTACCGCTGCTGCAACACCCCAGCAGTACTAGATTATCCGATTTCCAATCCCCACTACAGACCATCTGAAATGCGCAAAGAGGGCTGTTCAAAAATCGTAATCCTAGATCGGGTACATACCTGCAGCAAGTCCTCCCGGCTGTTGAACTGCGAAACGATGACATTCTTGCCGTCATAGACCCGGGTAAGCGAGATGTGCAGCTTGCCGTTGACGCGTTCGTGTGCATCCGCCGGCAAGAACTTCTGCAAACCTTCCAGCAGGCACGTCTGGATGTTGAACCGCGGGCTGAACGGACCCAGCGAATGGCTGCGGGCTTCGTTGACCACCCGAAAGAAGTCCGAGGTCATTTCACCTGTGAATTAGGAATAGGGAGAATGTTGTTTCAAAATGCCATGCCACGAATCAGATGATGTAACGCATAAGTGAAAGGCTTTGAGCCGACAGTAATCTATGGCAACCTCTCAAAGTAAGCGGTAGGGCCTATGACGTCACGGACACACCTTTCTCGGAGCAAACGAGCCTCCAACAAACCTTTGCGAAGGGAGAAGGTGGTCTTGACGGAAGCTGCTGCTAGCATAAATGCAGTGATTTCACAACATCGTACGATGTCCGATTTTGTTTGTATTCGTGTAGTGCGTACGCATCTACGCACATGGAAGCATTTTTTTTCATATGTCGAGTAGCATAAATGTGTTGATGTGTATGCTGAAATTTTCGGTGGACATATGCAACGGTTGCGGTGAGGGCAACGGCGGCTTCAGTGACATACAAAGGGCTTACTGGTGTGGCTAAGAACACGAAGAAGAAGTTGATCAAGTCGCACAAAAGTCGTTGAAAGTTTCTAGAAAAATAAAGGCCACAATCTATCTACGCACCAATCAGTTTTGGAGGCGCGTCATAACGTTCGGCACCATTCGGCTCAAATAGCCGAGCTCTGATAGCTGATGCCTCTCTACGCATTTATTGAAATGCGTTTGTCGAAAATGTTGCCTTGATCCGTCGTCGTCGTCGTCGTCGTCGTTAGACGATGTGTTTTTGTACCTCCACCCATTTAGAGAGCGACACGATCTCCAATGCGTAGAATATTTCTGAATAGGCTAGATAAAAACATTTGGACGGGGGCACGTTTCGAGGTCAACGAGAATTTCAAATTACTGTCTGTATACACACAATTGATTGGTAGTGGCGAGCCCTTTCTGCGTCGAGGAATGTTGTTTGTTTGTCGCTGCTGGTGGTAATCCTGCACAGTTGATGATGAGACTCGAGACCATCATTGTCGTTGATTTGTGAAATTCGACATGTGCCGGAAGTCGAGTCGGTACCCATTTTGCGTTATCTCGTCAAAGCGATGTCGCTCGCCGGGATAGGAACTGAGGTATGCCGACAGGAATTTCCTGTTCTATGGATTGAACGTTCATTCTAAAGAGGATTTTGTAGCAGAAATTCCAAGCCACTCAAGCCCGTTTCCAGAACCTATCGACAATCCCGGTTGTTTACCTCCCCCTGACGAATCGACCGCACATCAAGCAAAAAGCTGTTTACTTCCCCAATCGTCGAACGAAATGCTACTACGCCACTTGTTAATGATCTTGGAAATGTTGTTGTTTACATTTTCGCGCGTTGTTGCGATTGCATTTTTCGCGTTGTTTGCATCCTCACCCACCATACAAAACAATGTGGATTTTGACCTTGCTTGTATTCGCGCAAGGTTGGGCTCTCTTATCTTTCCCCGTGTGATGGTCGTTCGTACATAAACTACATTCCATCGGGCCATTACTGCGGTGGATGGTGGCGCGATATGGGAGCTTTAAATACAAGTCCACTACAAGCTTTTACTACGACTGGCACGTGATTTTGCGGTACGTTCGCGAATCCTCCTGATTGTATAGGTAGGCATATTTGCTACAACAAGTCGTGCAGTACAGATAAACTTTCATTTTTACCTTGTGCTTCCACCGTTAGTCGGCCCGGCAGTCAGGCCTGCAGAGCCTACAAGCAATTTAAATTTTGCTTGGCTACCTCAAAAGTGTCTGGTCGCTAGGTCGAAAATGGTTTCGATCAAGGGCGACGATGAATGTCGGGGGGAAGAGCAACTCTTCAAGAGGCAGCCAGCAACAACAAGCAGGTTGCATTATGCATTATGCAAGCGAAATCACGGCGCAGGCAGTCGGCTAGCAGGAGAGTCGTCGTCATTTGAAACGCTTTAATTTCCTCGACGTCCAGGTACCATGTCGGACCGTTAATGACCGTTCTGGCTTGTGGTAATTTTAATTGTGTTGACATGACAAGAACGATTCGGTGTGTATGGCGAAAATGTAGGGCAGACGAGATTTGTACGAAAAATGGAAATGAAGGACTAACAATAGCGGACAGGTGTTGCTGTTTGTGCGAGTTGAGGTTTAGTCGGTGCTATAGCCGTGGGTAAATTTGTAGAATTTGATGTGGAAATGTTGAAAACCCAATTCTTATCTGGTGGCAAATGCGTTTTGATGCTTTTTTCACAAGGACGAACATAATTTTTTTAATGCAAAATATGTAAAATTGTTAAAACCACTAGAGATGAGAATCCGTTCAGGAACGGTTCTAAAGAACTAGTTCATTTGGAACAAATAAAGCAAAAGGAATAAACGGGTCTGAATAACAAGAATCACATATAAGTATAGAAGAACTAGTGCGGTGAAGAACAGTTCCTATAGAAAGTGAACTAGCAAGAAAGCCGGGCATGAAATAAAGTCGAAAGTGATAAGTAACAAGTATTCCACAATTGATTCTTATCATTATCGGTGCAATCTATACAAGTAAAGTTGAGGGAGCGGAGCCTCCCTTTGCTCGGCCGGTAAAGGCGGAGCTATAAAACAAGACCACGCTGGAGGTGGCTGGCTTCGATTCCCGGTCCGGTTTAGGAATTTTTCGGTTTGAAACATTTCTCGACTTCCAATGTACTCGACAGTAATACTAATGCAAAAAAGGTTCCGGTTTAGGAGGGTCTCAATTAACAACTGTGGAAGTGCGTCTAGAACACTAAGTAGAGGGCCGGCGTAAAGTCCCAGGAGACACGTAATCAGAGGCGTCTTGTGACTAAAAGTTCTACCTGTTCGACAACTTCAGGGTTGCTACATGATTTTCTTAATTTGATCCGCGAAATCCGCGACTTCAAATACTAATGTTCTTTGAAGCACTTCCACATTTCAATTGAGTGCTTTCTCTGCCTGTACCATTAGACTGATGCAAAATTTGACATTTTCGCTCCATAGTGTTCAAACAGTTTCAAATCGGGTCCTGATTAGCCTCCGAAAGTTTAAAATCATTTGATTAGAAACTGACTTGGCACAAACCATTTGAAGTTTATATGGAAATTACTATGGGAAAACCAAACTTGTTGCTCATTGTCATCTAACATTTTTCCATATTGCAATGTTAAAATGTTCTATAACTATTCTTATGGGGAATTTTAATACATCAGTGACTTCAATAATTAATAACTTTTGTTCCTTACATTTAATCGAAAACTGGTCTTCAACAAAGTTGTGCTGTGAAAATTTTCAACAAGCTCAGCTATCATTTTCTAAAGTAGAGTGAACTGGTGAATTTGTTAACTGCAGAAGGAGCTTGTGTTTTGCGTAGGACTAGGAATTTGAGCGGGGTTCTCTCTGTTTATACTCTTAAGTATGACACTTTTGGCATAGATGGCCCACAGCGACTCGCGAAGAGCTACTGATTCCGATCAATAGCGTTGCGGCTTCTTCCTCCTTCTATGGATGCTCATGTTGGCTGCAACTTTCGTTGTGTACTGGAGAACAATGTTCAACGCCACGCGCTGAAAGCACTGCTGCCTTGATAGCTAGCGGGGAGCCTTTCGTTGTGTACTTGCGAACACCACCACTCACCACGTGGTGAGACCTGATGGAATTCAACGCTTCTCGCAGGCAATCGGTGATCATTTTAAATATCATAGCAACATTCGTGCAATTTTCAAAAGTGACATTTTGAAAAAAAAAAAAATATGAATCATGAGGTTCAACAAATGCCTACAAATATTTCCAATCGATTGGTGATAAAATTATTTAAATTGGTCCAGGGGCAACTGAGTTATTAACGTTCAAAATCTTTCAAAATTATGTTACATGTTCAACTTTCGGTTTTCACAAAGTCTATCCCCATGTAGAAATCACAGACGTAGTCCTACGTTAAAAAAAACCAACAAATTACAATGTATTATCTCCAGTAATGTTGTTGGTAGTAAAAATTCTGAGTAATCAGTGAACATAATAACACCCTCAAATCAAGCACCCTGCAAATAATCAAGAAATTATCAGAGTTTCATAGGTCACACTTGTCTCGTCGGACTAGGAAACTTCATGATATTTTTTTTATTTCTAATATGAACATAACACTTTTCGATGTCAAATCATAACCGAATCGTATATGTGTGACTTTGTGGAGCATGCACGACTTGTTACCATATATACCGGAATTTCTAGGTTCTCCAAATCTTCCAGGACATCAGTTGATTTGTTCTACTAGATCAACCAAGACTGCGGCAATACCTGTAGTATCGAAATATGTCCAAACAGATTCATAGTGACTATATGGATCATGCTCGATCTATTTCCGAGTATTCCAGATGTTCTAGGTTCTCCAAATCGTCCTGGAGTTCAAATAATTTGATCCACTACATCAACCGAGACTGGGACAATGTCTGTAGTATCGAAATACTTCCAGACAGATTCACAGCGACTATCTGGATCATGTATAACCTATTGCTATGTATACTAGATGTTCTAGGTTCTCCAAATTGTCATAGATATCAGTTGATTTATTCTACTAGAATCTATGTGGATCATGCACGAACTATTTCCCAGTATACTAGATGCTTTAGGTTCTCCAAATCGTCCTGGAGTTCAGATGATGTATTCTACTAGATTAACCATGACTGGGATAATGTCTGTAGTATCGAAATATGTCCAAACAAGTGATGGCATAATCATTAGCAAATTGATATTCCTCCGCTCTCATACGCTTTCAATATAACGCATGATATTGTAGCAAAATATCATGCTTGAAATTGATTTTACAAGCTTCTTTGATATTGCAAGACTATTTAGAACGTGTAAAGTTGAAGCTGAGGGTTAAATCGACGCAAAAATGATTCCGTTACACCTCGTCTTCTTAGAAAGAGAAGGTATTTTAATAATGCTATCTCTTTTATCTTTTCACCGATGGCAGACACGAAGCGACTGCTACCAGCCGTTAGGGAAGTTTCGGTTGCCTTCGGGTATTGATCAAAAATCAAAGAAATCAATCTCACCACATTTTGGTGAGATTTGTAGCTGGTGAGTTTTGTTAGGTTGA